CTCTATCAACTTGCAAACTGACAAACAAGAGACATGCAGTGAATGCGACTCTCCAGTTCAACTTCCAAATGACCTTTTTCTCTTCTTCCTCTGTCCATTCAAAGTATGGGTCGAATGCAGAGTAACTCTCGTATCCAGAGTTTGTGTACAAGTCACGATAGTATTCTTCCACTTTAGGATTCAAGAATGGATTTTTGGCAAGCTGATCGGATTCTGTGGAGCTTTCTGAACCCACACGGGTGACAGACTCCTTATTGTAATCCTTGACATGGCCCTGATCCTTGTTATCAGATGAGTAGTTGAGGGAATTATTGGAAGATACGGAATCGGTTATTGAATCTTGGCGTGTCATGTTTGATGTAGGAACTAATGTATATCTGCCAAGAACTTGTCGATTAACCTTGCCAAGAACAAAAGATTTGAGAGATGAGCCGCTGAACATTCCCAGGAGTATTTAAATAGTCCAAAGATGGGGCCGCTGTTTCAGTCAGCTGCTCTTAATTTCCAATTTTATTTTTTTTTATTTCTTAATTGTTAATTGTTAGTTGTTAATTGTTAATTGTTAGTTGTTAATTGTTAATTCGCTAAATGCCGAAAAGCAGACGAAGTGGGACGTACAGATCTTGCGTGATTGACGGAATACAATAGACGTTCAGTCATATGCAGTNTAATATTGTTAATTCGCTAAATGCCGAAAAGCAGACGAAGTGGAACGTACAGATCTTGCGTGATTGACGGAATACAATAGACGTTCAGTCATATGCAGTATATAGAGAAACAGACAAATAGCAAATGACTCCTTTTGCCTTAATTTAATTTGGTGCGCAAAAAAGATCAATTAAAAGTTTGTGATGAAAACTGTGGTTTCAATTGCATCATTATTATCTCTTTCTTTTTTTTCTGTTTTGTTTTTTTATTTTTTCCGTTTGTATTGTTCTTTAGGGGTGTGGCTGCAAACAAAAAGATCTTGTTAATAAACAGGCAAAACCCATCCCATTTCAGATAACGTTTGAAAGTCAAAGCTGTTAGAATAATTCACATGACTATAATGGTTCGTACTCTGAATAAGGTATTTTGGGCTTACCTGGAAAAAAGCGCAGAGCCACGTGGAGCCATGTATCAATCCAATAAGAGCTATCAGCGGTTGCAAATCGAAAATTGTGTCAAAAAGTGGCGTCAATTTTGATTGTGCACAAAAATATTATCATCAGTCACGTGAAGGATTAATTACTAAAACATAACATCAACACTGCCCATTTTTTTTTTTTTCGGTATTCACACAACAAACTCTCATAACCCCTCACTCTTAGTCGGCTCGGAGTAATGTATCACAGGGAGCAAGAAATATTTAATTAATGACCATCTTGACAAAGGCGGACTAGCGCTTCAAACCACAAGCACTTATATCCAATATCCCTCTTTGCCACACGGGGACGAATCGAAGCAAGATACCAAAAGTCGGTGCAGATCGCGTTCTCGGAATATAGCCTCAAATCGGGCCGATATTTACTCTGAAACGAATTTTTTCACATTTGTGGCGTTGATTATCTTTTGCTTTTGCTTTTGATGACGGTCATCATTCATGCCACAAAAAGTGCAGAGTAATTCAGGTAAGAGAAAGATCAAGACACACACACACACACACTGGCACACTTCTTATACACCGTTAGCAAATCTCTAAACTATATTGCACACTTAGTGATCAAACCTAAAGTCTAACCTCTTGTTAGCTTCATCCTTTGTCGTTTCCCTATACACGTGCTTCTCCTCTTCGGTCATTGCGTTCCATATCTTGTCCCTGCTCTTGTTTCTCCAAACGTAGTACGCTTTAACCAACAACAATACAGGAATAAGAGCCAACGTAATGGCAAACAACTGCATGTTACCCCTCTTGTATTGTGGTTTATCATCCTCACGGTAAATATTGTTACCGATGATATTACCCAACTGCACAAACATGTTATATAAAGCAGAACAAATGGATCTGTTCCTCACTGAATTGGAGTTTCTTGACACCCAAGCAACACAGATGGCATGGATATATGGTTGTC